GGGTAAGTTCTTTATTTGAAATTTAAGTTATTTTTTCCTGAAATTTCCTTCTTAAAATGAGGTGCGTGTTATAAGCCGGTGCGTGTTATACGCCGATAAATACGGTAATACTTCCTGATATTATTTTTAAACCTTTGTCCCTCTAATTTAAGACTATGTCCTCTTGTTGTAATAGCTTTTCTTCTTTTACATACAGTCTCCTCCTTTACTGTGTTGATTCCCTTTATATATTTAAATGTTTCTGTCATATCCCCCCTGTCCCGTCTTTCCTCCAAGCTATACATGTTAAGATCCTTTAACCTTTCCTGGTAAGTTTTATCCTGCAATCCATGAACCAGTTTAGTAGCCCTTCTCTAAACTCTCTCTAAAGTATCAATATCCTTCTGAAGATACGGTCTCTAGTAATGCGTACAATACTCTAAGTGAGGTTTCACCAGTGTTCTGTACAATGGCATGTGCACTTCCCTCTTTCTTTTTTTTTAAATCGATTTTTATTGAAACATAATTTTTTATATAACAATAATCCATAGCCTATGCACAAGTTCAAGTTATATGCACAATCACATAATTAATAATAATATATTGCATCAAGATGGCATATACTTGAGGCATAAGCCTAGAATAACAAACAATAACAAAGATAAAAGACAACATTCAAAGACAAAGAAAACAAAAGAGAAAACCAACCCCATTCAGAGCAAGCGAATAAACTTGAAGAAAGAAAAATGACAATTGACAATAATACATTATTTTCAGTATTTCTGTTTCTGAATTAATACAATCATTCCCACCTCTATTGTATTAACTGTAATAAAGTTTAAATTTTTTCATAGGCATCCGCAGCAATTTTGTATATTAAAAACCAGAGATTTATTGTATAATATTGTGATGAGACCAATCTCGCCACATTGCATTGGAGAAGCCTGGTTGCTCGCCTGCTGCCTTTGGACTATGGTCCCCTGTTAAAAGACATCTTTTTTACCTGCAGAAAAGCTTCATTCGTGCTTTTCTGCCTGGGGTTCGGTAGTTTTGGTTGAATGTGTTATACCCCAGATAGGAATCCCATGGAGCCCATTCGTATGAAACTGACTGTAAAGACTTTGGCTCCATGGCGATTAAACTGTATTTGTGTGGTCTGAGCGCCATTCACTTAATAATGTGCGCTCAGACCTGAGCTATCTGGGGATATGTTACATGTCTGTGTTTTATGTAATAAATGTTACTTTATGTATTTTAAAGTATAATACTGGTTTTGTGTCCCCACATGTGTAATGGAGTTTTGCCTTTGTCCTGGGAGATAATTGAATTACTTCTCCAGGGCAGAGGGGAGGAAGCCAGGATGCATTGTGGGGATGTTTTACTTCTGTATGTCTGTAATTGGTACATGTCTGTCTTTTGTTACAGTCTTCCATCTGGTCCCCTAGGGGAGTGTCCACCAGGTGGGAGACCTGCATAAATACTGGGCAGGTAGCCCTCATTAAACAGACCACTGCTTGACCCTCAACACGGAGCTCTGTCTCGTCTTTGGGGGGATTTACTGTATGCTGCTAAGGACTGATTGCCAGGAGTGTAAGCCGCTTGGGAGCTTTTCCTGTTCGTCTGGTAGCAGCAATTCGTATGGTTCCTGTTCGTGTATTTGGAGTGCTACCTTATTCCCTTGTATGCCGTTCGGGAGTTTGGAGCATTCACTTGTATGCAGTTCGAGAGTTTGGAGCATTCACTTGTATGCAGTTCGAGTGTTTGGACCATTCCCTTGTATGCAGTTCGAGTGTTTGGAGCATTCCCTTGTATGCCGTTCGGGAGTTTGGAGCATTCACTTGTATTCAGTTCGTGAGTTTTGGTGATTCTACAGTAGCTGTGCTTGTCTCTGAAAGGGGATTATCGTCTAAGCGGTTTTTTTCCCTTTTGTGCAAAACGGTCCGTTACAAATATTAACAGAGATATTGCCTAAAGCTGGGACTAGCCAAAAATATGTTGGTATCTTTCTAGCCAATCAGAATACCAGACTTTTTTTTTTTTTTAACAAAATTGTCAAATTATTTATGAGTTCATATTCCATATTGATTTAAAACATAATTTGATTAATCAATAACCGTTTTTGAAACAGAATAGAGGATTTCCACTGAAGCGCAATGATAATTTTAACAGCGACTAGGCAATGTGTGGCAAAACAAATATCTCTATGTGATTTAAGGTTCCAATTTAGGTGTAGAAGAGCAGAAACAACATTTTTGTTAATGTTATGATCTGTCATAGTGGTAAAGATGTTAAATGCCCATGTCCACAATGATCTAACTACGGGGCATGACCACCAAATATGAATTTATATACCCTGATAACTGCCACATCTCCAGCAAGTAGGATCATGGGAATCATACATTTTAGCCAATCTGGTGGGAGTGTAATACCATCGATGGAGATCCTTGAAGTGGCATTCAGTCAAATTTACACAATGTACATGCTTGTTTAATTGAATTAAAGTCATCTACTGAAATTTCAAGTTCCAATTCATGTTCCCAAGTCCTAATCAATCTAAAGGGAGGCAGTTTAAAACAATCTAAGAGAGAGGAAGCAGCAGATATAACCTTATTGATAGAACGGTAACCAAAAATAAGTTCCATTTCTTTTGCATATGAGGCAGTAGATTTAATAACATTGTTATGAATAAAAAAATTTAACCGCAGATAGGTGAAAATTTCTCTGCGTGGAATATGAAAATTATCTGTGATGTATTGAAAAGACAATATATTATCGCCCTGCATGATGTCAGCAATTGTTAATTTATAAACATTGGGCCAGTTTTTTAAAGATAAGTCTTGAATAATGGTTTCCACTATATCAAGTCTACAAGTCTTTGGGATAAGATTGTTAAACCCTAATTTCCTCTAGGGTTTGTGTCAAAGTCATTGGATTTGTTAAGGAGGAATTAATAAGAGAATCCCTAGTGACTGTCCACATATAATATTGTAATTTATCGATGTGAGCTACATCTGACTCGATTTTAAACCATGGTTCAAACGCCTGTTTGGGGTTTTTGCAGGGTACATATGTGTCTAATAATATTTGCATAATATTGATCAACAATACTTGGAAAATTTAAGCCCCCATTAGACAATTGTTTTGCTAAAATTTTCTGACTTATTCTTGTTTTTTTATGATTCCAAATAAAATTAGTCATGCTTCACTGAATTAGAGCTAACCACTGGTTGGTAACCTTAAGTGGGAGCATGGAAAATAAATGTGTCCACTTAGCATAATATATGCATTAATTATATTATTTTACCAAGCCAGGATGTTTCCAGAGTTTTCCATTTTTTAAGTTTAAGATTCATATATCTCAAAAGAGTCCAGACATTTCTGTTCATAGTACAGGAGACATTAGCTGGTATTACTAAACCCAGATAAGTTATTTCTTTGCCAGTCCATATGAATTTATATGTGTGTTATAAAGTATTTACTTGATCATTAGTCATATTTACGTACAAAGCTGTGGATTTAGAAATGTTCAGCTTAAAATTTGAAATATCAGAATATTTCTCAATTTCATATATTAAAGGAGATAGAGAGGTCTTGGGAGATGTAAGGGTAATTAACGCATCGTCTGCATATAGTAATATTTTAATTTCAGCGGATTTCGTATGGACACCTTTAATCAGAAAATTATTCTTGATATTTATTGCCAAGGGCTCAAGAGATAAGATATACAATAAGGGAGAAAGGGGACACCCTTGGCGCGTGCCATTTTTAAGTTCAAAACCAGCCCACAGTTATTTTCGGGCCTACAGTTCTAGCAGAGGGAGAAGAATATAAAGCTAATATCGCATTGCAGATCCACCCTGTAAAGCCAAAAGCATTTAAGACTTCACTGAGGTAATCCCACCCGACCCTGTTGAATGTTTTTTCGGTGTCTAGGGACAGGGCCAGGAGGGGGAACCCTTCTTTATTAGCGAGATCTCAAATATCTATTAAACTTCAGGAGTTATTGGAAGCTAATCTACCAGGGATAAACCCTATTTGGTCGGGATGAATTCACTTAGATATTACAGTCTTAACTCTTTCAGCAAGAATGGCAGAGTTTATCTTCAAATCGACATTAATTAAGGCTATTGGTCTATAGTTGCTGGGATCTGTGTTAATTTTATTTTGTTTAAGTATCAGAATAAGATTTGATTGTGGGGGGGAGGGAGCGATGACGTAGGGCGCACGCACGGACGCTTCCGGTGGCGCTGTCTGAGTGAGTCCCACGAGAAAACAAGCGGAGCTAGGGCAAGGACAGCGTGGTGAATGACGGCAGCGTATTCGGAATTGTCGGTAGCCCGGAAGGAATGGGAGACGGATGTCTCACCCAAGCAATGAAGAAGCCTGAGCCGGTAATAGGGCTGCAATACTAAGCTGATTTGGCTGACTAAATTTACTGAATAAGTAGACAAACGGCTGTGCATCTGTGTATTTGAAGCAGGAGCCTGCTGTGGGCTCAGAACAGGAGAAGAGTTTTTTTTTTTTTGTTTGTTTGTTCGTTCGGTTCTCCTATGTAATGTAGAGGAGATGAAGGCATTTCTGAATTTCCCTGAAGAATTTCCCATAAGATGTGCACTAACTGATTATTATGTATTGCTGACTACTGTGACTGAAGGTCCTGGCGGTAAGGGCTGGCTAAAAACCACATTAAACCATACCTAATCATTTATTATAGCAATTATATCATTGGCATAGAAAACTACTAAAACAAATTGTTATATAGTGAGACATACTGTCATATAATAAGAATACTCACTTCACTATACTTGCCGGTGACTGGGGTATGCTGGTGATTTAAAAATGACCTCCAAGAAAAACCCTGAAAATAAATCCCTAAAAAAGGATAAAAAAGAAATTAAAGAGCCAAGACGGTTATCCAATTTTTTTGTGGCCCAATCTCCTGGTAGGAAGGATGGCGAAGAGGGAACGTCGTTTATCCAAGGAGAAGAGGGAGAAATGAAGGCAATTATTAGTAAAGAGTTTCAAGAAACATTTTCGGAAATACTGGAAAAGAGCCAGCAGCATTTATGTGATAAATTGACCTCAGTAATACAATTAAATGTACAAGAAATTAAAGAAGAAATTGCTATGCTAAATCAGAAAATAGTGAATATTGAAGAAAAATTAGGTGCAGTGGACTATATGCAGGCGGAGTTAAAATCCCAATTTGAATCGCTGGATAAGAAATATAATGGGATGGAACAAAAGTTATCTGACTTAGAAGATCGCAGTCGACGGAGTAATTTATGTATCAGAGGTATTAGCGAACAAATTTCGGATGGAAAATTAGAGGAATACTTACTAAAATTCTTTGAAGAGTTAGGGCTGAAGATGGAGCCTAATATAAAAATACTGGACAGATATCATCGTCTCCCCAGGCCCAAGGGACTGCCTGAGACTGTATCTAGAGATGTAATGATTTGCTTTCATCAATTTTGGTACAAAGATCAAGTTCTAAATAAGCATAGAACAAACTTAGAAAATAAGGATCAATACTTATATATGAATTTGAAATTATTCCAAGACTTGTCCTGGCAGACCAGGCAAAGCAGAAAAGCCTTTGGAACTATTACTAACATTCTTAGGAAATATATGATAAGATATAAATGGGGTTATCCAGTCAAGTTAATAGTGACGAGAGGGAAAGATATAATCTCACTGGATGAGCCCCAAAAGGCTGCAATATGGCTTCAAAAGAATGATATAAAATGAGCTAGAGTGATGGGGAGAGGGGAAAGGGGGGAGGCGACGAGATGGAAGGAAAAGGGGATAGGTTAACGAGGTTTTGTTTTTTTTTCTTTTTTTTTGAAAATGGGGATGTATTAGAGAGTGAAAATAGAGAGTGATAAACACTAAAGTTTGCTGGTTAATGAAGTATCAAACTATATAAGGTATAAATGCAGTAAGCACTGGTTATTTAAATGGTTAAACTGTGAATAATAGAATAAATAATAGAGATGTGTGAACTTAGATAGAAAAAAGAGAACAAAAAGAAATTTTTGATTTTGTGTTTTTTTTTTGCAGTAACACAAGGGTTGCAATCAGGGTTAAGTAAACACCTAAATGATGTATAGGAGTATTGGAAAATAATAATGCGTATGTGTTTATAATATTGAATTTAAATAGTAATGGTGGACAAAGCACATTATGGTATGGGACACTAATCATTAGTCTGTTTTTTTCACGTCCTATAAGTAGGAAATAGGAATACAGCAATTTGGATAATAATTTATGAATATATATACGGTTATTGTATAATAATTAGAATTTGGGAACTCACTGGGAAATATAATTGGGTATGATCATTTATTAATATAAGATAAATGATTAGTAAGCACTAGAAGAGTGTTGTGGGGTTTAAGTAATTAATAAAAAGCTGTATTCATAGATTGAATCATTAAGGGCAATGGGGGCTAAATTGTATCATAATTAGTGTACTGATCACTTATTTTGGTAAGAAGGTTGTAGAGAATAAGTAATTGAAATATAATAATCTAGTTAATTTATGAATATATATATGCCTGTGTTGTATGCAGTGGGTGGAAATACATTAAGATATAAAATATGGTAAAAAAGGAATAAGATTTGATTGTAATAATTTGTTTGGAAAAAGTTGATTTAATGCTATCTGGTTGAACATTTCTGTTAATGGGCTTATTAAATGAGATTTCATATATTTGTAATATAGATTTGAAAAACCATCTGGGCTAGGCGTCTTATTTATAGCAAGTCTGTCTATTTGATGTTGAAAATATTTTGATTTAGAGTTAATAGATCTTGATGGGAGACTTTCGGAATCGGTGTATTTACTAAATAGTTACGAATAGCGTTTAGATTAGGGGGCGTTTTAAGATTATACAAGTCAGAATAAAATTGATTGAATCTCTCCCCTATTTGAGATGGAGTCAAGTATATCTTTTGGCCTTCTATCAATTGTTCTATTCTATTGTTTGCGAGTTGATTTTGAAGTCTTCTAGTTAGATTTTTATTATTTATATTGCCTGTGTGATAATGTTTTAGTTTTAATTTATGAATATTGGATTACATTTTTTGTTCAACTTTTATGTTGATTTATTTTAGTATGAGTTTTAGCTGAAGGTTTAAATCAGCAGAGGGAGCCTGTTTATTTAATTTAGAGAGGTTGTAGAATTGAATATATAAATCTTACCATATTTTTATCCTCGTTATATGGGCTAGTTTAATTAAATAACCTTGCATGACCGATTTATGTGTACACCAATTATTTGCTGGAGATGTATCTTTAGAGCTATTTTCTGACCAAAAGTATTTTAATAAGTGAGTCAATTCCTCCCTATTTTTGAGGTCTTTAATCAGAGCGTCATTTAATCTCCAGGTAGTACAGGGCGCGGGCGATTTATTACAAAAATCAATAAGTATAAAACTGTGGTCCGACCACAAACTCTCTCTAATTTTTATTGAATTGCAAAGAGAAATCGAATTTGCATCTACTAAACAGAAATCAATGCGTACATATGAACCGTGTGCACTGGATTGATGGGAGTAATCTTTGTGCAGCAGATGTAATAGTCTCCAAATATCATATAATTTATACTGTTTACAAATATTATGTAATTTTTTGGCTTGTTTTACCGTTCTTTTATCAATTGGTATTGAGGGTAAATACGTCTTGTCCATTTTGGGATCAAACACGCAATTAAAATCGCCGGCAACAATTAAGTGACCCTTATGGACCTTAGCAACTCTATCCATTAGCGCTAAGAGTTTGGCCATAGGATCGACATTCGGGAGATAAACATTGACAAAAGTATATATATTTTTGTCAATAGAGCAAACCAAAATAATAAATCTAGCCTCGGGATCTAATTCAACATATTTAATTTTGAGATTTATATCTCTATTAAAATGATTGCAACACCCCTCTTTTTCTTATCTGGTGAAGAAGCATGTATAATGGTAGAGAATTTATCACCCCCCCCAATGAGTTTCATGTAAAAAAGCCACTTTTTTTATCATGCTCAGTGAATTAAACAATCTGCTCCTCTTTCTATTAGTATTAAGACAATGGACATTTACAGACATAAACTTTATCATCTATTTTTGTCAAGAATTTCATTAAGGTATCTCTTGCTCTGGGGTAAAAGAAAAAAAAAAGACAATTCACACACATCCTTAAGGATTGGAACCCAAACAGGTCCAACCCATACATCCATAAACCATAAAACAAACACACAATAGCATAATCTGTAGATCTCAATAGAAATCAACAGAACACAATGTAGTAACATAGAAACATAGAAACATAGAATGTGACGGCAGATAAGAACCATTCAGCCCATCTAGTCTGCCCAATTTTCTAAATACTTTAATTAGTCCCTAGTCTTATCTTATAGTTAGGATAGCCTTATGCCTATCCCACGCATGCTTAAACTCCTTTACTGTGTTAACCTCTACCACTTCAGCTGGAAGGCTATTCCATGCATCCACTACCCTCTCAGTAAAGTAATACTTCCTGATATTATTTTTAAACCTTTGTCCCTCTAATTTAAGACTATGTCCTCTTGTTGTGGTAGTTTTTCTTCTTTTAAATATAGTCTCCTCCTTTACTGTGTTGATTCCCTTTATGTATTTAAATGTTTCTATCATATCCCCCCTGTCTCGTCTTTCCTCCAAGCTATACATGTTAAGATCCTTTAACCTTTCCTGGTAAGTTTTATCCCGCAATCCATGAACCAGTTTAGTAGCCCTTCTCTGAACCCTCTCTAAGGTATCAATATCCTTCTGAAGATACGGTCTCCAGTACTGTGTACAATACTCCAAGTGAGGTCTCACCAGTGTTCTGTACAATGGCATGAGCACTTCCCTCTTTCTACTGCTAATACCTCTCCCTATACAACCAAGCATTCTGCTAGCATTTCCTGCTGCTCTATTACATTGTCTGCCTACCTTTAAGTCATCAGAAATAATCACCCCTAAATCCCTTTCCTCATATGTTGAGGTTAGGACTCTATCAAATATTCTGTACTCTGCCCTTGGGTTTTTACGTCCAAGATGCATTATCTTGCACTTATCCACATTAAATGTCAGTTGCCACAATTCTGACCATTTTCTAGTTTACCTAAATCATTTGTCATTTGGCTTATCCCTCCTGGAACATCAACCCTGTTACATATCTTAGTATCATCAGCAAAAAGACATACCTTACCATCAAGACCTTCTGCAATATCACTAATAAAAATATTAAAGAGAATGGGTCCAAGTACAGATCCCTGAGGTACCCCACTGGTGACAAGTCCAAGCTTCGAATATATTCCATTAACTACAACCCTCTGTTGCCTGTCACTCAGCCACTGCCTTACCCATTCAACAATATTGGAATCCAAACTTAAAGATTGCAGTTTATTGATAAGCCTTCTATGTGCAACAGTGTCAAAAGCCTTACTGAAATCTAGGTAAGCAATGTCTACTGCACCACCCTGATCTATAATTTTAGTTACCCAATCAAAAAATCAATAAGATTAGTTTGGCATGATCTCCCTGAAGTAAACCCATGTTGTCTCTGATCTTGAAATCTATGTGTTTTTAGATGTTCAACAATCCTATCCTTTAACATGGTTTCCATCACTTTCCCCACTACTGAAGTAAGGCTTACTGGCCTATAGTTGCCCGACTCCTCCCTATTACCTTTCTTGTAAATGGGCACAACATTCGCTAACTTCCAATCTTCTGGGACTACTCCTGTTAACAATGATTGGTTAAATAAATCTGTTAATGGTTTTGCTAGTACACCACTAAGCTCTTTTAATAGCTTTGGGTGTATTCCATCAGGTCCCATTGACTTATTTGTCTTTACTTTTGACAGTTGAAATAGAACCTCTTCCTCTGTAAACTCACGTGTAATAAATGACTCATTTATCCTTTTTCTCAACTGAGGTCCCTTTCCTTCATTTTCATCTGTAAATACAGAACAAAAATATTCATTGAGGCAGTCAGCTAGACCTTTATCCTCTTCTACATACCTTCCTTCTTTTGTTTTTAATCTAACTAATCCTTGTTTTACTTTTCTTTTCTCATTTATGTATCTAAAAAATGTTTTATCCCCCTTTTTTACTGACTGTGCTATTTTCTCTTCTGTGTGTGATTTGGAAGCTCTTATAACTTGCTTAGCCTCTTTCTGCCTAATCTTATAGATCATTTTGTCTTCCTCACTCTGGGTTTTTTTTATAATTCCTAAATGCTAACTTTTTGTTTTTAACTATTTTGGCCACATCTGCGGAG